CTTGGGTTAGTCTCTTTAAAATGGTGAGGAATAAATTTAATTGATTTGACATGCAGATCTCTTGCTATGTGAAATGTTTTAGTCATACAAGTCATTCACCCAGGCCTGAGAAATGTGGCAGGGGATTCAGAGGATCTTTAAGACCAGTAGCTGCAGGGAAAGCAGGGTGAGATCCTCAAATAACGATGAGAATTGTTTTCTAGGTGACTGAATCAAAACTGTAGCAACAGGGTTTGAGTTCAGCTCATGACAGCAAAATTTAGGCATTTACATAAGTGGAATCTCCAGGGGAAAAATTCTCATTTTGTAATTGTTTGCCCACCTGTGTTAATGTTTTGTTGGGAGTAGTTTTTGTGCTGTTAACATATATCAGTATAGTTTTAAGTAAATACTGGAAAACAGTACTATTTACTTTGCTGACATAACCAAATGGTCAATCTAAACAACTATGATCCTGTCTATGATAATCTTTGTTTCTCTGACTATATTATCTTCTCATATTCTGTATTTTTGTACTACTTAATAATATTAAAAGAAAAAAATCAGAGTTTTGTTCTTGGACACGGTATTAGTTATTTTTATTATAAACATTGTTGCATGCTATCTTACTCTGGTCATTCTGCCCTAAACAGATTAAATACTTCATCTACTTAAGCTTCAGTAAATCTTATTATACATATTCTGATCTCCATTAAGTTATGCAAGCCAACTTCTGTATTCATTTCAGAAAGTGCAATATACCTTGTTCAAAGATTTCTTATAACATGGTTAGAGTATTACAGACATTATAAAAAGCATAATTGCATCAATGTATGGACTGAATCTAACAATTAAAAGCACATGATTAATATCTTGAGTCAGTTGTAAATCATGATTGGTCTATCTGTCCTATAAAGTTGCTAAGCCAATAGGCTGCAGAGGGTATTTTCCATCTACCAACCATTTATCCATTAAAAAAAATATGGGAAAAATTATTTCCATACATTTTAAAAGTGTGAATTTGCTAGGTAATCCCAAGATGCCACTGTTTCTAGTAGAAGAGAGATATTTAGATATAAATAGCATTGTCATGGAAATGTTGCATCTTCTCCTTTTGAAGATTCTGGATGCATTCAAAATATCACTCCTCAATCATTCCGCAATCCTCAGCCACTGAGGATCATCTCAAGCAAAGACTCTTTTAGGAGTATGTCAAGGGGTTTTTGAGTGAATGAGTACTCACAGTGCTTCTGTCACACTCTGTGGCTGGCCTTATTGTTGTGAGGTTTTTCAGTCAGAAAATTGTAATTTTTCTATAGGAGCAGTGTAGCACCTCACCCATATCTTCCAAGACAGTGGGGTTATTTTACCCCTCTTTTTTTTTTTTTTAAATTGCCCTCCAGTCCATGTTCTGAATACCAAAGTCAAATTCAGAGTAATCTAAGATAAAAAACACCCTTTTTTTTCTTAAATTTTGAGCTTTGTGGTTCATCAGCCAAAAACTGAGATATTGAGTTTTAATGGTTTGATTTCTTATCTATGTATTTCAATAATTTAGGCAGTCTAATCTTTATTTATGACAAAAATTGTTGAAATACCACAGAAACCTTGAAACATGCTAGGGAGTCATTCTAATAAGATTTTAGAAAGCTGCATGACCCTCTGTCTGGGAATAATTTGACTTGTAAATGTTCCTTTATAGCCTTTTGAACCATCCTAGTGAAATTTTCATCCATCCTTTCTGCACAGAATAGACCCTGGAGCAAATTGTCTTGCAAACTGTTTCACACTATTTCTCCTGAAGAGGAGCACCCAGGAGTAATAAGTGGATTAACTCTCTTGAGTAAAACAAGGCATGAAACACACTGACAGAATAAGCACAGCTAACAAATGCCATATTCTTCAAAGTAATTAAAATTCAGAAAAAATAATTCACTTTCACTTGCTCTTAAATTAGGCTAAAGTTACACTCTTTAAACCACAGGACTCATTATACTATGACCAAGAACAGGTTGAGGGCTTGCTGCATCTCACATCTTAGAAAACAAGCATTTTGATTTCTTTTAAATCCACAGGTTGAAATATCAGAAGTCTAAGATTAATCCTTATGAGGATGTTCAGAGAAAAATGCCCTAATATTGGACTTTCAAGCAGAAAGTTATAAGAGAATAAAAAAGGCAGATGAAGAAAGTTATTAACAGATAATTATGATACAGTTACTGAGATTTGCAAATGCTTTTCTATATGCATAAATCTATACTTTAATGCCTTGTTGTCCAGGCTAAAAATAGGGGGTTTTACTGCCGGTGAGAAACTTTCATACATTAGAATGATCAGAGGCAGGGCACCTGTCCTATGAAGACAGGCTGAGAGATTTGGGGCTGTCCAGCCTGGAGAAAAGAAGACTCTGAGGAGATCTTGTAGCCTTGAAATAGAAAAAGGGGACTTACAAAAAAGGAAAAAACTTTTTACCAGGGCCTACAGTGACAATGGTTTTCAACTGAGAGTAGATTTAGATTGAATATATGAGACACTGGATCAGGTTTCCAAGAGAAGTGATGGATGCCCTAACCCTGGAAGTGTTCAAGGACAGGTTGAACACTGAGAGTTTGAGCAACCTGGTCAAGTGGAAGGTGTCCCTGTAATGGGGTGAGGTTGGAAGCAGATGGTCTTCAAAGATCCCTTCCAACCCAAAACATTCTATGACTCGTTGGTATGCAAGAGCTGACAAAGGTTTTTGAAGGGTTCAACACACAAACTTCACATATGCCTGCACAGTTTGAGTGGTATTCTGGGAACTGCTGTCCACTCAGGTGTTTGGCAATTACAAAATTAAAAACATTTCCATCCTTTAGCAGTGATTTCTTCTGCAGCTTTCATTAGAAGCATCCCACATTTCACACACTTCATCCAGTGTTTTGTTTTTAATACATAGGTAGCAATTATGTACCAGGAACATTCCACTTTCTTTTTAGTTTCTTACCTTTGGATTGTTTCAGCTAGTGAAGCAACATCAGAATGTCACATGTATGGTATTGGGTAGGAAGAATCTGAGAACTCTTATTTCCAAGGAAAATTGCAAGTATCATTACATAGCATAAAACTGTTCATTTCTATATTTATGTCAGGAAGTGACCAAATAGAGAGAGGAACTATGAATTCACATGCTGGAGTAGTCTTCAATTTACCTGCAGATCATAAACTAGTACATATTAATTTTTCTTAAATTTAATTAAATTGAACTAAACTGAAAATTTTCATCTTCTGTAACATGATTCCTGACTCCTAGCAGTATAAATAACACTATCTAGATCAGATAACCAAGTCAGAAGCAGTCACTTTCACCATGGTGGAGAACAGTTCTGTGTTTCTGGACCAAGGCTTAAATCAATTCTTTTTAAGGCCTTTTTAGATTGGTATCTCAAAACCACAGGAAGTATCATCTATTTAGGTCAAATACTATCTTTGATGCTTGCTGCCTTCCCAATGACTCAAATAATTCTGGATTTTTGTATATTTAATCCTAACATATACCAAAATTTATGAGAACCGAGAAAAAGTCTGGAATTCTAAGTAATTTTTTTTTTAATCAACAGACTTTTACTAACTATGAGGCTATTGACTTGATTCTAAGGGATATTGATCCATGGATATAAAGAGAAATACAGACAATCTGAAATGTTACCCACATTTCACCACCAGTCAGATTGCCACTGACTTGAACAGTGGCTGAATTGTATTTTTGAGTTTTAGGTTCATGTCATGTACATAGCAAAAGAAATTGCTGCACATTCTCATTGTCTTTCCTCAAGTGCAATATAAGCATGTTAATCTCTTTTTAAAAACCCCTTCTTAGTGTCTGTAACACCCACTTTTATAGTCCTATTGCTGTCCTGATTTACATGTAGAAAAGGTTTTTTTGCTAAATAAAATATTACTGATTAAAATGTGATCCTTTCCCAGGAAGATATCTAATTGAAAGAAGAAGAATTCCCAAACTTCACTACTGTCCCTATAAATAAACAGGCTAAAATTTAACCTCACTTTTTAAAAAATGTCTTTAAAATAAACCAGAACCTTGCTTTCTGCCATTACCTTCTAGCAAGGGTCTGACATCTACTACTCAACAGCACAATTTTAATCAATGCCAACAAAATTCAAAGCAAGGATAATTTCTCACATGAGCAGCTGCTACATTACAGAGTAAAAAAAAAAGGACATAAGGGAATAGAAAACAAGTACTGCAGATAGCCTGTCAAATGCTGATTTTAAGAATTTAAAAGATCAGATATACTTTTCTGTCACAAGGGATCTTTAAGGAATGAGTCAGGCCTATGCACTGACAGTATTCCTTATCCTCTCTCGTCTTTTAAAAAGAAGTCTATATTTTATACATGTTCCCTCAAGCTAGGAATAGCCTTACTACTAATGCCCAAAACCCACACTTTAAAAACTGAGTCAAGATAAACAACAGCAGCCTTATAAACCTAAGTATTATCAACTTCCTTTCTGAACTCTGAGAAATATTTTTTATCTATCCCAAATTGGCCCCACATTCTAATTTCCCACCTGGCTCTCCAGTAATAATTGGAGAAATTAGTTACGCCTTGTTGAGGTATTTGCCGGTATAATTCAGCTGGTTTTCCTAAAAAGAAGCAGAAAGAATTTAAATAAGAAAATAGTTTACAGCCAGAGATAAAAAATGTAGGAAAAGAAGGACAAGTTCTGTGTTCTTGTATCCACATGACAAACAACATTGATTTACAGTGTTACAAATCAGCCTATTCCTGAACTGTCACTGTAAAGACTCATCAAAAGAAAAGTAAAAAAATACAGGGAGACTGTTCTTAACTAGTAGCTGGTTTATAGTTTTTGCAGTTCTGAATTCTGTGTGAACTTCGACTAAAAGGCTATTAGCCCTTAAATTATGGCCCAAGATAATTCTAAAAAAATTGATTTTTTAAAGTTTTATTTTAAAAAATTCTGCTTTTCCCATGGAATCTTTCTATTTTTTTTTTTTAATTACTAAGAAGACAAATGAAACAACAAAAAATCTGAAAGGCACAAGTGTTTATTCTGAAAAACAAAATTTCATACCTTTGAAGTGATACTTCAGTAATTGCCTGGAAAGTTAATTTGTTTGCTTAATATTATTAATCACTTTTATTGACCTACCTCTTAAACACATTTCTGTTAACATACAGCTTCTTGGAACTTTCAGAGAGCTTCTTCTGGTGACTTCTAGGAGTTGCAATGAGCTCAGAGTATTTTGACTTGGAATCAGAATGCTAGAAATTCCATCAAAAATCTGATAAGCATATATGGTTCAATTTCAGAATTAAAAAAAAAAAATAGGAGAATTCCAGAACTTATCTCTTTTAATAAGATGTGGTTATGAAGCAAATCTGATTTAATACTACCTGGCACATTTAGTATAAATAACCAGTTAATCATGAAGACTGTGAACACTGGAAAGCAAGCAGAGGGATACCCCCAACAAAATGGAGTGAAGGTGAAGGTGAAGGTGCTGGAGTGGGATTAACTGAACCTGAGCCATGTCTGAAGAAGTGCTACTTCATCTAGAGAGACATTTAAAATAGAAATATAGTCACTTTCCATAATTAATGTTCATTTGGGATCAGTAAAATTCAGGTTGAGGCATTAATATGATAGAAGGTAAATTGCTAAATCCTAAATGGTTGCCCCTCTGTCATGAAACTGAAACTAGGACTTAACAAGTATGACTTGTTGGAAAATTCAGGTGATGTCTTCCATTTAGCAGTATGATTAGGATCTGGAATTTTGTGCATCCTCCAAGGGAAAAAATTAAGTAAAATAGATCTGTTCTAAAGTCAATAACATTCAGTACTCAAATACATATAGACTATTCAGTAGTAGCAATGATAAGTAGTAGTTAAGTCTTCAAAAGGTCATTCCAATGATTCAAAGCACAATACTGTTCCTAAAAGGCTTTTTTCACCTTGCACCAAAAAATTCTTAGTGTTGATAGAGACTTCCAGCTTTGTTACTCTGTTCTACTGATTGATTATCTTTAACAGTGATATGTTTTTCTTATGTTCTAGTCCAGTTGCTTGCTGAAATTAATACTCAAGGACAGAAATAAGAATCCAAATCCAAGAGCATCCATTCACAAATATAACATATTTTAACAAGCATTTCCTGTAATGAATTATTCTAAGCTTGCCTAGAAATGATAACACAGCCGTTCCTATGGAAAAAAAATCTGTATTAGAACTTCAGTTCTGCTGTATTGATTTGAAATTTTAAAAAACCCAAAACCAAGATTGCCACAACCTGTTTCTATACTAGACAGTCCCTTGTAGCTCCCTAATGTCTTAATATTCTTATTTTTTTAGAATAATTTATAACTTACTTAGAGATTAAACTATTATGCTGGGGATTCAGAAAAGAGTTTTTTTGTTTACCCTCACATATTCTTGAACACAACCCCTTTTTTTGGACTGATATTCAAACTGCTACTTTGGAATGCTGTTTAAGTGCAGGTGGGATCACAAGGCAAGCTAAAATTAAACTTCAGCTGATCTACATTTTAGCATGTGAGAGTCCTCAAAATTATTGGACTGTAAATTGTGTTCCAAGAGAGAAGGCTTTAAAAATCAGTGCATTAGAATGAATATAAATCTTTCCTATTTTGACAATGCCTGGATATGTCCAAGTCTTGTGGTAGAGAGTTTGCTTTCATATCTATAACTAGAAACTCCTGCTTTGTTCCCACTTTATTTTCAGATTAATACGCTTTCCACAATGTTCATTATTGCATCCTATGATAGTAGTCTTACAGGCTTGCAGCTCTAATGAAATGTTATCCACTGCTGCAGTATGTGAATAATGGCTTGTCTGTTAAGGGAAAGTTTTGGTGTGTATATTTCTCATAAAGAATTCCTAACAGTTTGTCCTGCAAAGGAATTTGTAATTATTTTAGTCTATTATAAGTTTGTCTTGCCTTTTGTGCATTATTTACTCTAATGTTACTAGGCTATGACTGGGAGGGAATCAAATGGACAGAAGACTACACAAATCTAGTGGCTCAAAGTAATGTACTCTGTGTGTAGAAGTTGATGCAATAAAGGATAAATAAACTTTATTCTTATCTGCAAAGATATTCAGGGTCTTCAAGCATAGGTGTATTCTGCTTTGAAATACTCTATTTTTCTGCCTCAATCCAGTTGCTGCTCCAGAAAGTTCTGGGTATCCCACAAATTTCTAATCAAATACGCCATTCCAGATGAGACAGTCTTTTTTCTTGAGTTAGGAGCCAAAAGATTATAATGAAAATTTAAAGCATTTATTTTAGCTTCCTTATCTAATCTTTAAGTGGGTCATATCAGATGACATTAATGCTCCCAAATTGTGTGTTAATGCCATCCTTTGCAGAAGTCTTTATTTTTTGTAAACCCCTTTGGTATGCTTTCTTTCTGTAATAACTTATTTTTTACTATTTCTTTAGATTTTATTTTTTTGTCTGCCATATTGGCTTTGCACTCTGACTGTTTGTAATGTGATAACACCATGACTGAATTTGCATGCCTTAGAAAATGCACAAATCTTCTGGAGATCAGCTGGGTCAGTCATCTGATACATACACCTGCCTTCATGTTTCACACTGCGGTAGTACCTAGAAGTCCACATTCTTTTCAGAAGCCTGCTAACATTCTGCCTACCATAATTAGTCACTTTGGGTGATTTATTAGTCCCATGTGTAACTTGCATCAATGCCTGCTGAGTGTGCTTTGGATTCTTGCTTTTTCCTCCTGCTGCTTGTCCAATATCTCTAGCATTATTCACCATCCTCCTGATTGCCTTGGCTGTGCCTGGCTGAGTGTTTAGCTTTTTAGAAACACATTCATATTCATGGAACACTCTGTTATATTCTTGAAGGAATTGGATTCCTACTGATCTGAATGCAATTATTTGCCTTTTCTATCAGCTATGCCATTCTGACTAGTCTGATAGTCTGAAAAGTTCCTTTTTCTTGGCAAGTAAAAGAGAGAAAAGGGGATCTTTCCACCCTGTCTCTGGACATTTGTGAGACTAACAAAAAAGGCACCTTATCTCATTGTTTATCTGTTGGTTTTAAGACTATTTTTGGTTTCATTTATATTTTAAAGCAGTATGCAAGTCTCTTGACTTTATAAAGACACATTTTTGCCATAATTTTTATGTTTGAAAAAGTGAAGCCTACAGAATATCTACACTGAGTATCTTTCTTCCTACTTAGTGCATCCCTTTCAAACACATCCACAAAGCAAAGTTATCTACATTCCTGAAAAATTGTAATACAGATTGTTATGATTCAGGAACTATCAGTGTAACAATAAGTTTTTTAAAGCCCATGATAAATCTATACCTGAAATCTGCCATTTCCAAAGAAAGGAATCTTGATGGTGTTAGAAAAAGAATAAAAGAAAAATAACATGAGATTTTTTTTCTCTCCTGTTGGTGAACATTTTGGATACAAAAAGAGCTTTCACAGCAATAGTTAAACAGAATTTAGGAAGCAGATAGGAGATGCTCTTCACCTCTCCTAGCAACCACACCTTACCTAGATGTTTTTCCACAGATTAAAGGAGCTACTCCAGATATACAAAATTATAGAAAGAAAATTATATATTGAAGACAATCACCTTACCTTCAGAAAATGGATATACTTGGAAAAATCCTGCAGCATGAGAAACAGATTTTTAAAATTTGTCTTCAGTAGTGGAGACATTGGCAAAGTATACTGTTTTCCAACAGCAAACAGAAAGGCAGCATGAGTGAGGCAAAGCCAGTTTTTCTAACAACATTTCTCATTCTCCAAAAAAAAAACAGCAACTAATGTGTCATTGTACACTTTTTTTTCCCAGACTCTTGAAATTGTCTTGAATCTACCTTCTTGTATGCAAGTACAGATCTATCAAGGAGAAAAGGTTAAGAGGCCATAAACGTTCCATAAATGTCTCATTATTTTGGATATTTGCCTTCTTACATTCTAAGGAAAAAACACTCCGATATCACAGCTACATCCAACTATAATATGACAAATCTGTTCCCTCTTTATTGGCAGCATCTACTGCCCTCAGGTTAGTTGTTCTGAATAAAATTCCAAAATTAAATATTGCTGTTTTCTTGTTGAACAAAGCTGACTAATTTGTTTCAAGTACAATTTTCTGCCACTGGCTAAATATTCTAAACTGAAGACAGCTCGAAAAATGGATATAATAGGAAGGGATGTAAATCCTGAGAGAAAGAACACCCACACAAACTACAAACACATCCTTTTTTCTCTGCCCTTCTCTGGGACCAATGGAATATATGGATACATATTTAAAGCACTGGCCAAAGGTAATAATTATTCCAATTTCTGCTATAATTTTGAGAGAAAGTTCTTTCTTGGGGATACTATGTCTGTTATGATCACAGATGAAACAAAAAAAAAAAAGATATTTTTTGGATGCATTTTTGAATTTATCTACATTATTATTTTTATGTTAATACTCCAAATTACACTATAGTACATTTTTTCTTAAAAAGGTCCAAAATTATTTGATCAGATTTCGTAAAGAAATTACAAGTTTTGATTTAGTTTTAACTTTTTCATTAAAACAATCCAAACAAAATTTAGGAAGGGTTGAATAAAATTGTCATCTTCCTTAGTTTCCTAATGAATCATGTGAATTGATAACCTGATCTTTATAATGCAGTCCCTTGTAATGACAAAATGTGATTTCAAATACCTTCTCAACTGACTGAAGTGCTTTAAGCCTTGTATAAACACTTGTTTTATGGTACCAAGTTACCTTTGATGGTTGGCAGATGAACTCCAAGTTTTCTGCATCATTTTGAAATCAGCATAAGTGGAAAGACAATGCTTCTGTCTGGAAACTTTAGATAACACACATTCCGCATTCTGTCCTTCCATCTGTTCTGATGGCCTTTAAATATCTTCAGTGAAGGACGCTCCACACTCTCTCTGGGCAATCTATTCCATTGCTTGGTCACCCACAAAATAAAGAAGTACTTCCTCATGTTCAGGTGGAACTTTCTGTGCATGAGTTTCTGCCCATTGCTCCTGTCCTATTGCTCGGCACCACTGAACAGAGCTCAGTCCATCCTCCTGGCACCATCCCTTCAGATACTGATAGATATTGGCTACATCTTCTCTCAGTCATCTCTTCTCAAAACTGGATAGGCCCAACTCTCACAGCTTTTCCTCATGATAGGAAAAAAATCCTATAGCCCTTTGATGGACGTGCTCCAGGATCTCCATGTCCCTCTTGTACTGGGGAGCCCAGAACTAGACACAGCACAGCATATGTGGCCTCACAAGGGCTGAGTAGATGGGCAGGATCACCTCCCTCAGCCTGCTGGCAATGCTCTTCCATTGGGATTCTTGGCACAAGGGCACACATGCAGAGCTAATTGTCCACCAGGACTGTCAGGTCCCTCTCTATAGAGCTGCCTGTCAGCAGATACAGTCTGTGCTCTTCCCCAGGTGAAGGATCCTGCATTTTCCTGAGTTGAATTCCAGAAGATTCTTCTCTACGCAACTCTCCAGCCTGTTGATCCCAGGCTCCTGAGGTCCATCTGAAGGGCTGCACAGCCCTCTGAGGTATTGGCCTCTCCTCCCAGCCTTGTGTCATCAGCAAACTTGCTGGGAAGTATCTACCCCTTCATCTAAGTTAGAAGTTGAACAAGATTGGACCCAGTATCAAAACCCTTGTAGGATATTACTTGTTTAAAGTTTTCATCCAGGTCTCTGTGCCACTGATCAAACCCCCTGAGCTCTTCTGTTCAGTCAGTTCTCCATCCATCTCACCATCCACTTGTCCAACCTTCACTTAATGACTTTGTCTATGAGGATATCATGGGCGATAGCATCAAAAGCCTTACTGAAGTCTGGTAAACAACATTCCATTGCTCTCCCCTCACTTATCCAGACAAGTTTTAGAATTCAAGTGATGCTTGTGACAGGAGAGGCTGCCCTCAGTGAGTTAAAGGAAGTTTTACTGTTGCAATTCAGTATTGCCCCATTTGAGTTCTGCAATAAATTATGAAATAAATTAATATATTTCATTGCATTGCGCAGGAAACATTGCTTCCCTTCTATATGAATTATGTAATATTTATACATGGTCATGACACACATAGGTGACATACACAGCCAAATAGATGTAGTGCCCTGGATGGATAATGTTTAACAGTTTAGATTGGGGTGTACTTCACTGAAATTTCAGCAGCCTGATATTGGCGTGAGAAGAGGGATCACACAATGAGAAACTTTCCAGTATGTGAAAAATACAGGAGTGGTGCTGGAGAATGCAGAAAAATTTGAAGCATTAGATGACTGAGCAACTAAAGTTCTGTAAATGATTCCTGAAGGTGGGAAATCTGTCCTCTGAGCAAACCTGAACTAAGACTCAACAGCTTTTACTCTATCAGTTAGAGTAGGAACATTTTTGTCCTACTCTATAGGTGATCTTTAACTCCCCAGGTTATCACAGAAATGATTTGCTTTAAATAAGCAGAACTGTATTTCAGAAAGTTGCTTACATAAATGTAAGGAATCCTTTGTAACACAAACCTTTTGAAAATCAGATAACCTGTCTTGTCTTCAGAGAAATATACAAACTATGTAATTTTTTTGCTTCTCTAGTTGGCTTCTGTACTGATGCTAGTGGCATTTTTTTTCATGTCTTTTTTTCCTTTTTTTGTTGTTTTTTTTTTTGTTTTGTTTTGTTTTGTTTTGTTTTTTTCAGTAAATTGTTAAAGGGAAGGTAGCATCTAGGGACAATTTTAAGCGGAAGATTTGTATAATGCTACATGCTAGGATCAAAACTGGTATCAGCAATTTGGAATTAACTTACATAACTCTAACTTAAATTTGAGCCCAAGTATTTAGACTTGATTCAACAAGCAAATACTGTGTGCTAAGGCAAGGTAGATTCCTATGATTAAGTCTACTTCAATGATATATATGCTTACATTTGAACACATGAACATATATTCATACACATGTGTTAGGATCTGATTATCAAAAGATGCTTCTGCCCAAATTAAGGTGAAAATGAGACTATATGCCAATGTCAGGAGTATGAATTTTATGGAAGAGTAGATGTGTGGTAGGGAGGGCAGAGAGAGAAAAGAGAAAGTTTAAGTAGAAATGTAGTCACCACCACATGGATCGCTGTGGCATTCTTCCTGCCCTTCCTCCTCTGGTCTTCTTGCTGGTGGGGGCCCTTAGAGTGTTCTGGAGGTATCACTTTTATACAATCTAATTCCCAGGCATCCACAAAATGTAGATGCTGTTCCTACAGCTTGGGCTGGTACGTGTATAAGGACTTGCTTCCTTTCTCATGGTTTGCCATGGTGGGAATTTTTGTCCAGATAGGTTATCGAGATCTGCCTCAGCCTGGCATCTTCCTATTGTTTCCCTCTGTACTTGTTGCAAGGTCCCACATCACAGTAAATTTCATCTAGTGTGCTAATTCCAAACCTTCACCTCAGTTTAGGCCTGGAATTAATGGCTTCATGCTTGCCACCCCTACCTCTTGTGGCACTTTAGTTTATGGGAACTTCCTTCCCTGACAGTGTCTTGGGGTATTTCACTGCATTCTTTAAGTCCTGACAAGATGTGTGCATGTATATATAGATATTTGTACACGTATATAAGTTATGGAATCTCACATAGATATATACATACATATGGACACACATATATTATGAGTTAATAGTTTTTTTACATACCTCTTTGGAAAGAAAAAACAAACCTGGGTTCTGAATTAAATGCTTCATCTGTGTCTATGGGGTTCTTCATTATTTAAAATACTGCTTTTGTTTCGTTAGCTTTTACTATCTGGAGAATGAACATCATTGTTTTTAACTGCAATGGAAAAAACAAAGATAAGACCTGTGTTGCGTAGTGGCTGTGATATAAAGAGGCAGCAAATCCTATTAATATTCAGTCGTATTAATATTCAGTTTTACAATTGATTTTTACATGTTCTACTAGTTTAATGGTCTTTTTATTATAAATATTTACAATAATTTGATGATTAGTGATTTCATTGGAAATTTGTTTTGAATCTTAAGTAAAGGATAACGATTATTATGATCTGATATTTGAGATTTTGTAAGTAGGACCTGCTTAAGTAGTTTGGGCATTTCGCTGAATAAAAAAGTTTTATTTCAGTCTCTTACTCATTCTGTCTCTATGTTAATTACCTAATTAAAAACTTAGAGTTTTGTCTACTCTATTTAAAAAACTTAATTCAATATCTTTTTACTGCTGGGATCTCCGAAATAGGTAATACAATGAGAAATTTCATAATGGGATTTATGAGAGGATCATCCACTTAAATAAAAAATTTATAATCAGTGGAATGAAATAACCATTCTGAAGGTACAATTGATCTGACCTATTTTAGAGATCTATTTGTAAGTAAGACCTACTGCATTCTAGAAGAGCAATCCCTCAGATAAAGACAGATGAATCCTAGCAGCAGGCTTACCCAATGTCCAACAGATGTTAGGTGACAGTCACTGTAAAACATTACTCTTAATGCATCAGGAAGTAACTTTTAAGCACATTTAACTTTTTTTGACAAAAATGCTAATTTGATTTAGTCTGAAGTTCTAAAATGACTGCTGTGCTCAACACTGAGTGCAATTACCATTTGGAGTGTTAAGTTCCATAATTATCTTGAACTACCAAGAAGCACAAGATGGTGTAAATTTGGGGTTTTTAATTATTATTTGTTAGAAAAGGCTCTAATTAGGGCATGAAAAATAGGATAGGGGGGAAGTTTTGAGCTAACAGTTTACTCAGATACAACATAACCATTTTGGAATCATAGACATATAATTGTTATAGATGAGCAGGATAAACACTGAAGCAGGTCAAAAATCTACCAATTTTGTTCATTTGTAGATACCAAGTACCAATTCTATTTCAATTGCATTTATATAATTTATTATTTTCAGTTCTCAGAATTCACTGTTTCTAACCGGTCTGATGGGGCTGGTTTGTTTGTTTGTTTGTTTGCTTGTTTGTTTGTTTTGCATGTTTGTTTGTTTAGTTTATTGATTGGTTGGTGGGTGGTTTTTTGTTTTGGTTGGTTGACTGGTTGGTTGGTTTTTAACACGGCAAAATAAATTTTGCCAGGATCAGTGATCAATTTAGCAATGAAATAAGCTTCTCTTTTGTTTCCTCTTGAGGAAAACCCCACACTAGTCCTCTCTTTTTTCCACCTTTCAAATCTCAGTGGAAAAAGGAAAAAAAAAAAAAAATGAACCTAGAACTATAAGATGTTAGAAAGCATGTAGAAGTCTTCCATAGATTCATTTATTGACACAAAACTCATTAGAAAGAAGTAGGAACATTCCTGATTCACTGTATCTTGAGTTCTGTAGATCTACAGTTACTGATTTCCTCCTAAGTTGTTTTTTTTTTTTGTCTCTCAGAGGAGTTGGTTGTTTCACCCACAAAAGACATTAGCAGACAGCATTTCTCTTGTTGATCTGTGACAAGCCTGGCAAGAAGCTCTGGGTGCCTAAAGAGATCAGATGTGCTCTTCTCTGAATGCTTTACCTCTGTGGAAATAGTGGGTCTGTCCCTGCTCACTTCACTGTAGTTCACCAAGAATCATAGCAGACGGAGTTAAAACCTGTTATAATCTCGAGGAAAAAGTCACAACAGAAAACAAAGTAGATCATATTAAAACACAACACATAGAATCAATAACTTCCTCCTTTTTTAGACAATGTCCTTAATATTTATCATTGCTGACAGTTCAATCTATCTCAGATTTGAACTACATATATATACATCATATAATTTTAGAATTAGGCCTTGGGAGAGGCATGGAAATATCAGCAGTTCAGGAAAGTTCACTCTTAAATACTTCAGTGATTTCTTCAGGGCTCAAAACCCACCAGTATTTAGACTTTTAACTCACTGTTGGTTAATGGAAGGAAGAAAAGGATCCTTCACCAGCTGGGAGGGTGGAAATAAACAATATCTGGGAGCTTCTAGAGGAACAAAGATGAAATTGGAGAATAAGGGACAAAGGTGATGTGGGAACTTGTCAGAGGGCATATAATAATTTTAATGTTCACACCATGGGCCTGTTTGGAAGGACAGACTTTGAAAGATTGGGGAGTGGGCACCTTGTGAGGAAATCTGGCATATGCCTGTCAAAACTAGAGTGAGGAAAAGCATAAATTTCATTCTTTAGATGTTTCCAGTAAAGAGTAGCAAGGGACTGAATTATCCTTGAGCTGTGAGGTGTTCCCAGGCTGTTACATTCCTTCTTTTGATTTTTAACTAGCAGTTGGGCCAAAGGGACAAGCCAACCTGCTCACTTCTTGGAACTTCTTTAGATAAACTCCGTATTCAGTTGAGTCCAGCACACTTCATGAACGCTCGTTCCCAGCATTATAAAACTTTGGGATTCACAACCAGCCTTCAACTTAAATAGAGCACACCCAGCCATACATTATCAGACAGAAAGATGTATCCAATGCATCTGAGCTCTCCAGCTCCCTCCAGCAAAAAAAGGAGCAATGAAGAACTCAGCTTGATTCATGTTATGGCACTACTGACTTCTATCTCCTGCAGCAAAACACTGGAATGGACTGGACTTGCTTTCATGCAGAAGTGCTAACTTGTTGATAGCATCACAGTTATATTTAAAGCTCTTTTCCTAAGGCAGCTTTTCTTTATTGTTTACAGTAAAATAGATGTGCTATAAAAAGAGATTTTTGGTTTTGAACAGTTGGGAAATAATGCAAAGACCACAAAACAAATTCAATATTCTTTAGACTTCTTTAAAATGAGCAAAACTGAAAAAATGTAATTGGTGCCCAAAGCGATTTTAAAACTACTGAAAGTCCTGGCATTGGAGACAATGAATTTTTCCCACAAAGCAATAGATTTTTTTCATGGTCTCATAGCAAAATGTGCAGTGTCCACTCTGTTCTGCTCCAAACAGAGATTAAAACACTCTTCAAATCAGATTTTTTTTCCCAAGGAGGTCACTTGTACAATGAAAGCAACAATATTTCTTGAAAAAATATTAATTTAGAAAATATCTTTGTGACCATTATTACTTGCATACTGGGCTGTAAAATTAACTATGCAGGGAGCAGGTCATAGGAAAGGATTCTTCCCTTCCACGGGGTGCTTGTTAGTATGAAGAAGATGAAGCCAGACTCTTCTCAGAGCTCAGCAGTCAGAAATAGGAAATAGATAACATTCACAAGCTGAAGTAAAGGAAATTCTAACTGAATAAAAGGAAAATAAAAAGCAATCTAAACCAACCAACTCAACAAAATCACACAAAATAAAGTTTTGGTTCAAAACTTTACAAAAACACTCTGTTCAGCTTCACTTAATGTGGAAATTAGCTGTGTGAGAGTGAGGTTGGACTGGAGTGCTCCAGCAGTCCTTTGCTCTGTGAATCATTCTATCTGTTTTTAATTACTTCATAAAGCACATTTTAAACCAGCATTATGTCTGTAAAATGCCATTTTTTGTTTCCCTGAACCTCATCTTACCCTTCATGGTGATATAAGGTGTGTGCTGATTCAGGTTAGGTGACTAACCCAAAATCAGTACACAAGGGTGGGCAAGGGAGGGGTGAGGTTCCAGTGAGTAGGATCATTTCTGCCAATGAGCTCATTATGCAGCTGTACAAACATTATGGCTATAGGAGATAAAGTCAGGGGCACTGTGTGGGAAGCAATAAGCAGGAATTTGGGGAGAGCTCTTTCAGCACCAGTGCCTGTTTATGACTTTTTAAGGCTTGGTGATTAGTTACAGGTAACAATTTTTGAGCTAGACTGGTACTGGGGATGGTATAATTTTATTTAAGGGAACATCTCATCCGAAAGAGTTTAAAGCAGCAATCTTCTTCAACTGTTTATTAAAAAACTACATAGATTTTTCATAACCACTGAGCTGGTTGAATTCCTTCTGAGTAATTAGGTTCTATTACTTGATGTTCCCTGCTGCAACTGCCTACAATTAATGTATTCTTTTCTCTTCCTAATGACAACAAGACCTGGAATATCTGATCACAGGCTTTGTAAATAAGGGGCTATTAAAAAAAAAAACAGAATTGTTAAATAACAGGAAAAAAAATTCCAAGCCAGGTTGTTAAATTTGCACATTCTTTTTCCAAGTGGAAGGATGATGGTTTTATAGTAAATCACTGAGGAAAACTCAGCAATTTTTTTTTTTCTCAGTGCCAGTTGCACCACTTTTGTCTTTTGACAGCAGAGTAGTTAATTCTGCCTTTACCAGTGCCTGTTTTCAAAGCATAACAAACAGCTTTCAAAATCAGAAAGCACAGTACTCAGCGGGATAACAGACTTGCCTTATGTTTCTTGAAGCATTCTTGTTAAAAACTACTCCTTTGCTGGAGCTTATTTGTCACATGGAAAACTGAAGTAAATTCGACATGAAGCTTGAAATCTTGTTACCTGTTGCATCTATATGCTTCTCTGAGATAGTTTAGAAAAGTAATGAAGAATTCCAATGTACCAATTACTCTCTTTAACTGTAGTTGCCTCACCTTTCTGATTAAGACTACTTATAATTACTTATATTTTTGTGAAAATAATGATTGTAAACATATAATACAGACCACTATCCTTTCTAAATTTTAGGTGTTTGCTAACTACCACTAACATTATTATTATTAAGGGATAAACCCAAAAATTTCACAAAGAAGAAGTAGTGCAAGCTGCTAAAAGTATTTATCACAAAAGGTCTGAGATAGAAATTTTGATTTTTTTTAATGGAAATTGTGACAATTAGCTTACAGCATGATGGACATCTCAGGCGAAGCTCTATTTAATGTAGAGGATTGTTTATGTTGTGCTACTGAATTGTATTGTATGGATTTTATTTCAAAATTGGAAGTTGAGTGCTTTGCACAGGATAATTAGATGTCTTGTGAGCCATTTCAGTAGCAAGTTTGCAGTCTCCACATCTGTATGATGGTCCTTGGTCAGAATCATAGACTTAAAGGTCTGCATTCTTTCCTGTAGCCAAACTATGTTGGGAAGGAGGAATGAAAATGTGCAGAGAAGTTAAACTGGTGCTCACCTGAATTACAATGTATACATGCTCAAATTTCAGATATGAATGTGGTAAAATGTATAGATTTGACTGGTGAATAAAGCTTCTTTCTCTTTGGAAGAGCTACCAACAACAGACTTTGTGACTCAACACTGAGAGGAACATGAGCATAACAGCACTCAGAGTCTTGTGGTTCAGCAATGGATCCACAAAATTTTGCTTCTGAAACCTCATGCAAGGGGGGTTATGCAACCTCATAAGCAGGTACCTCGTGAAATAGGACTTGTGGTATGTGTGGTACTTGTGAAGAAGATAAAATTGGGCATCAACAATAAAACAAATAAAATAACTTCAAAGATAAAACATGGTCTTCAACTTCTTTGGCCATGAAATCCTGTATTTCACAATGATAATCACAACAGAGAAATAATTAGCATTACCACCAATCAATAAGTCCATTTGAATCCTTTTGTTTTCTCAGTTCTCAATCATTTAATATTTTGTGTGTCCTTTAATCAGTTAAAATGATTTCTGAGATTTTATACAGCTTCTAATATTTTTTCTGACTTAGAATTAAGAGGCAAATTCTGTGACAAAATATACATCACAGACTGTTTTTCCTGACAGATGCAGAAGCAATTTGTTGGGTTTGCTCAAAATTTGTGAGGTTGCTCACAAATAACACTGAAATTGCGACCTGACACTGGTTCTTCTATGTGATGAAGCGGGAGGAGCTTGATCTGGTACTTTGCAGGGTTCTCTCCAGTGGTGCTGGGCGTCTCAGCTGGTGTGGTATCTAACCATGGGCAGGCAGCAGCTTGGCAAGTCATTCTTCATGAACATTGCCCTAAGCAACAGAGTATTTTCTTGGGTTTGAGCCAATTCCAAGCAGATATTCAGTAGTCATATTGTGTCTCTTTAGGGTGTCTAAAAAGGCAATGCTGTAAAGTTTTAAATATTTTTTACTTTAACAAGATTGTTTTTGTAGTGACTCTTTGGAGGAAGTTATTTATCTTCAGTTCATGCAAACCTGAACTGGAGGTTTAATAAATCTGTATATCAGATTTTTATTCAATCTTCTCTCTTACAGTATGAAATTCTTTGTGAATAACTTAAAAATTCAGGAAAATATATGTTCTGATTTCCTAAATCTATCTTTGTTTTTAGTTTAACCCCCCCACTACCCCTTATTTTCTGTTCTAAATTCATTGAAATTGTAAAGAAAGTCTATGAAATTTCTTCAGGTATTAGCATCATATTAATGGATGATGATTGCAAATGCAATGCTGCACTTTATTAAAAATTAATAATGAGTATACAATAGTAATAGCTTAGGGTTTTTTTCCATGTCCCAGGTATTTTACATTTCAAAACTCACCAGACAAGTTTTAAATAACATGCAAGGAATATATGCTGCACTTTCTGTTTGTGAGGTCTTGCAAAACCCTATTTTCAATTCCCATATGCACAGCTTTAATTTTTAAATGTGAATTACAAGCAAGACTTCCACAGTAATTTTCAAATGAGCAATATTAAATCTCAGAGATTCTTGACAAAATCATGAGGGTTGGCCTCAGTGCATAAAGTTTGTGAAGCATTAACTCTCAAAACAAGAGACTAAACTTTTTCAGTTGCCAGAAAGTAAATCTACAGAAGATGTCAGAGCATTAGCTCACTATGAGATACTCCTTTGCATTCATTATTGGAAAGATTCAGCTAATTATAAAAGTTCCATTACATGCATACTGCCCAGAGCAGAAAAGGATTTTCAATTAGTTACAAAATAGTTGTTTTTTTTTTTTTTTTATCTACAGATAGATGGTATATGCTTCAGTGACTCCAGAAAATGTAGAGAGAGTTTCTAAGCCAGACAGAGACAAACATCAACATATGTGTGTTTTCTTATTCACCTTTTCTGGTGCACATAATTTTGGGGAAACTTTTCATCAGAAAAGTTTTCCAGTTGCAGGTGGAAATGATATAAAATCCAGGTGAAGGCCAAGAAATCATAGTTTCAAACCCTCTTATTTGGGACACCCTCAGATTTCAAGGTGAGGTTTCCTCTTTTCTTTGTGGCACCAGGGAAAGGTCCCAGTATCTGAGAGGTATCAGTCTCTGACTTTTTTCTCTAAAAAGTCCTGAAAAAATATTTTAGGTGATCATACAATAAATTTTCAGTTCTACACTATAAATAATTTCCCTTGCATCTCTGCTACCAAGCTATCATATTCTCCCATGACTGAATAATAGGCCCTTTTATTTTACTGAAGTCCATGATTCCCAGCTCACTGGTCTTTGTGAGAGGACTTCTACTATCTCTCCCATTTCCCATGGAAGTTCAGAAACTCAGAAACATTTTGGCATTTTTGCCCCTACAGAAGATTGTGACCTCTTCTGTAGCATCATTTTGCCACCTGAAACATGGACTTAAAATGTTGACCTTTGCCATTGTTTTTTATTTCAGTTAACTGGTTTCTTACCAATTCACAAACACTCTAAATAGAAACACAATTTCCCTTTCTCTTTTTCTTTCCATCATTTCAGTCTTCATCACAAATCTCTGAGTGGATTTGCATAAGTGCTTTACTGTCCCCATGCTTTTTCTTCTGCTCTAGGTTTTTATGTAATATTTTTGTTCAAATATATCTCTGTGGAGTTTATCCAAACACATCAGTTTAACAGCGCAATGAAATACTAACTTTAGGATGTCTCTTATAGCAGCTTGAGGGAATCAGCATTGTAAGAAATGAAGAATAATGGCACTGCTGAGTGCTGAATGAGAGGGAAAATGTAACGTGTGCATTCCACTAAAAAGTAGGTACATTAGTCTGTAAAGATTTCTGGTGAAAATTTAAAAACTTAAAAAAAAACCCACAAGAAAAAAAAAAAACCCAAAACCAAAAAAACACAACAAAACAAAACAAAACAAAACAAAACAAAAAACATTTACTGGATGACTCCAGACAGGAGCCAAAGGTAAACTGATTCTTCTCCAGACTGGCAACTTTAGGAACCATGTCCACATTACTGTAAGATGCTTTCAGGCATCAGTCCTCCACGGACTATAGAACTCTTAAACTCTTAAATTTTGCATAATACTATGGAATACTCCGCAGAACATTTTTGTTCATCTCTCCTGAGCAAAATTTGGATTAATAAGTTTTTTTTAGTTTTGACTGAGCTGATTCCATATTTATCCTATTAATGGAAAGGATCATCCTCTGTTGCTCTGTTGGACAGATTATGCAGGTAGTAGAATCCCAGTAGAGATTACAAGTATTCATTCTTATGCTAAAATTTCCTAGGTTCTCTACAGCCAGCCCCAAAATACTCTGATGGTTCTGGAAGACAGATTTGGTTTTCTTTCGTATGTTAGTGACAATGAGCTTTGTTAGAATTATCACAGCTCTTACTGTCACACAGAACAGGCAACGTCTCATACTCTTACACTTAGTAGTCCTATTAGCAACAATAATTTCAGTAATCATTCTTATTTAATGCAAGAGAAAGAGCATCTCAACAGAGAGCTGCTACCACTGCACCAGGAAATGTAAGTATGCAAAAGGAAAACTATTAATATAAGAGCATACCTGTCTTCCACATGAACAGTCAGTGCAGAAGCTTTTGCTCTGGTACCCAAGCTGTGCAGCACACACGGCTGTGCTCTCCAGTGTGTAGCTCCAGGGAGGTATGAGCAAGACTTTAAGCATATTTCACTGAAAGTGCCTCAGAGCTGCAGTATAAATCTGAGGGGGAATCTGGAAATCATGATGTGAGGAGTGAATAGGCTTGTTCTCACCAAAAATTTTCATCTCCACCTATCATGATAGTATGCCTACTAGGTTTATGGCACAAAAGAGTGCTAACATATTGTGTTAGGTTGGGTATGTGTATGGATGTTTTTGTGTATACAAATGTCATCTTCCACCTCCTTCTCAAAGAAAGCCTTATTAAGTTACATATGCCAGCATGTGTTAAGTAATTTTTTGTGGGCTATAAATGAATCGGCCAAGCTGTGAAATGAAACAGCTTGTTCCACTGCACTAACTGAGTGCAGGCTCAGTGCTTATTGTCTGTGCAGAAAATGTTCGATGAGTCACTCTCCAAACGAAGCCACATCATATGTGGTTCTTACACCAAGTCCTTGTCACTGAGGATACATCCTTGTGATAGAACAGCTTTATGACAAAGAGAAAATATCAAAATATATTTTAATTGCATTTTAAGTCAGAAAACAGTAGTATTTTTTTTTTTCAGTTTGATTACCACTTTTAAAAACTTCAGCCTGTCTAGTAAAACTAAGCCTGTATTAGATGTTTAGGCAACATCTGCTCTTGAAGTTAGAATTTTACCTTTGAACTGGTTTTCTATTTATTTTTCTAATAAAATAAATTATCTTAAGACATGCATATAATTTTATCCATCTGCCTTTGAAGGTTTTTTTGTTATTTTTGTTAGACTATATGTCCAAAACACTACAAGTAATAAAAAATCACTACTTAAACAGCCCTCTGCCAAAGCAAATAGAGAAGTTCCTAAGTGTTCCTGTTATGCAACACATTCTTGAGTTTAAATTCAAATGCAACACGACTGGCTTTGCTTCTGCCTGACTCACAAGTTCAACAGACATTATATAAATAAACTTTGCTTTCACATCATTCTTCCCACTTCTGAGTGGTCAGCAGGTTTTCTAACAGAAAACTACTTTTTGCAAATGCAACCTGCAAGCATTTTGGTTTAATTCTTTTCATTTTTAGTGATTTTTTTTTAGGAAATACATTGTTCTTACAACATCTTCTAAGTAGTCCGTGTATTTTAATTTAGGTTGGTGAATACTGTTTATACCCAAAGTACAAGACATTCTGTTCAAATTATTTGTCTCTCTTTGGATTCCCAAAAGTAAATACAATAAATGCAAAACCTACTTGGTAATCTAATCTACCTTTCCTCTCCTGATATTATGCTACATAAGACTTCTGAATTATATTTATAATTATTTGATCTTCTTTATTATATATTAAGGATATTTTCCATTATCTCTTGCTACTATTCATGTGACTAATTTTTTCTCCCCTTAAAGTGCTTATATTATTTCCATTCTACTTTCATCATATTGTTACATAAGACAATCCATTTCCTAGGATTTCCAGTGTTTCAAGCTAGAATGTCTAATTTCTCAAAATCAAGTGGACACAATGAATAAATAAATCTCTTGTGATACTCACACCTTCATATGTATATTCAGAGTAAAAAGGTGTAAAATTTTTCATTATTTTGACACAGAAAGTGAAGGCTGTCTCAGAAGGGATTTTGTAATTTCAGACTATGTTGTTGAACTCTCAAAATCTTGCATATCAAAACTAAAAAAAAACAAGTCTTTACCATGAGAGAGGGAAAGTAGCTTAAAATCTGTCATTTTTTAATGAGAACCTAAGCAAATCTAGCAAAATCCTCCCTATTTTTGTATTGGTGAGATCCATTTTGTGTTCTCATATCGACGTGGGAAAAAAGTGCAGACTAAGTCATCCTGTTTTAATAAAATATTTCTGCTGTGTTACAAAAAGATTATTGTAGCATTGTGCAAATACTTAACTGAACTGTTGTTATGTCAAATTCAGACTTTTGCAGGCAGTTTGCAATGTTTTTTCTCCCTTTAGCAAAACATTTTGTCCTTGGTAAAGCTGCAGTAGAATAAGCTTAAATAGTCAAGGTTCAGGTTGCTCTGTATATACAGCATTAGTTTTCTTCTTCTCTGTGTATGAAGGGTTTTTTAATACAAAAAGCCAGGGCAAAATGTGCTTTTCAACATCAAAATTTCAGATGTGCTGTGGCAAGCCATCTTTTATGCAATTTAATCTGCAGTGTCTGATATGTCTCATTATGTAAGATGCTAAAGTTGTGAAGACTATGAATAGATATTTAGACTTGGGCAGTGATTTATGGTGAGGATGAAAAGAAAAAAAGGTGGTTGAAGAGAGTATTTTCTCCTTGCAGATTCAGGCTGCACCTATGTTTGAAGTTCAATTAACATCACAGGAATAATTTCAACCATCATTTTAGCTTTCTCTCAAGTTTTAGTTTTCTCTAAAGTTGTGGAAAATTATGGAGCTGTAAATTTTAATTTTGATGTTTTTAGCCTAGTTTCATTGGCTAAAAATCTGTTCTCTAAATGAAAGCCATTAACTTGCCTCTCCACTAACACAAAAAAATGCAGGCATTGCCTCCAAAAGCATTTATCCATCCAAAAAGCAAAAGCTTAAGAAGGTATTTTCTCTATTGTCTACAAAATTCAGGGAGTTTCCATTAGACATAACCATTTCCTTATGACTAACCCTGTCATTACTTTGTAATTATAAATCAGAGATAAATTTTGGAGAAATCTAGTATTTGAAGGACGTGCAGAGAGCATGTTGATAGAATTATCAGTTTAGAACACAAGAATTTCCTTCCACAGATGTGGAAGATATAAATAAGTCATAATCTAGTAGGATGAGTTGTGTAAATATCTTGACTTCCCTCACTTCAGTTTCTTTCTCTCTCTAGCTATGACCAGTCAAAACCATACAGGTATATACTGTGTTCATCTTCACTGTTGAAATCAACCTGTGGAGTAATCTCTGATCATCTAAATTTGATATTTACAGGTGCCATTATTTTCTCTCCATTTATTCCAAATATGTCTATGGCACAGGGACAAGTCTGGCTAGATTATTGGAAAAAAAATCTTACTGGATAAGCCTCTGGATCTTCTATACTGTCATCTATACTTAGGCAACTTCTGATACAAGTGAAACTCCTTCACCTCATTCACTTCCTCTAACACTATTGCTTCATTATACTCTTCCCACCACCGCACTTTTCCTACAACATTTTAGAAAGTCACACAACAGAAATAAAGTTGGTCGAAAGTGGATTGGTACATGTCTTTATTTTTCATATTTGAGCATATTGCGAAGTATCAGTGTTATTTTCCCACATATCACATTACTTCAGATCAAGAATTTTTACATATGGTATCAATGTATAGTCAGAATTGAGTTTTCATTTAGTGGGGTTTTTTTGTGGTTTTTTTGTGGGTTTTTTTTGTTTTGTTTTGCATTTTTTTTTCAAAAAAAAAGAGACTAAAACCTATGAAATGGGGGCACACATAGAATGACCAATAAATGGAACAGAGCTGATACTTTTTCTGGGAATATTCTACATCTCAACAGGAAAAATACTTTTTCTGTTTTGAAAATATATTTTGTACAACAGTTTTGGGGGTTTTTTTACTTAAAATAAGGACTTGGGGCATACAGGCTAAATTTCTGCACGGGTATATTTAAATTTCTCTTCGCAGTGAGCCTGCTAGGTTTGAGAATCACAATATAAAGCTGTCAGCGTTTTCATATGCCTGAGCCTCAAAGTCAGCCCCGCTCAGTGCCCATAAAATTGTGAATTGTGTTTGCTGTGAGCAAAGATCCTGCGTTCTGCTCCTCTCTCCCATTACATGATTGCATGTGCATCACTTCTGAGGACACTGGGAGATATTAATGAAAGACCTTCCTGGCTCATCTCAGAATATACAGCCTGTCCTCAGCAGTGCACAGTGCAAGGTAAGGAGAGGGAAGCAGAAAAGAGAGGAGCTCCTTTAGTTCCTGTCTGTTCCCAGAGGGAACCATTTATCAGGAGGGGACTGAGCTTGGTGTCTCAGAAGAGAATTGCTCCCTGCACACAGTGTCCCTGCCTGTGTCAGGTAAGGCACAGAATAAATCATAATAACACTGAGCTCTTCTTTTGTAACACCACATAGCCTTTCCACAGGCAGATTAGAGAAGACTGAACACATATTAGGGATCCTTAGCAGCTGTAGTTCCTCTTCAGAGCAGAGATAGATAAATAAAATGTTTCTCTTAGCTTCAGTTTGTCCCATGAGCTGTTGATTGCACTGTGAAGAGCAAACTGAGTATCCAGTTGCAACGAATTTCAGATCATATTCGCCCTCATATTTATTGAGACAGACCAATGGTAGCAATTCCAACACGTATTTAAAACACTGTGAGACAGGAGGTAGTTAAAACTGTATTAGATGTCTAATTTTCCTTACTGAAAAAAAAAAAAAAATATAAAACCAGCTTTAAAGAGAAAACCGTGGCAGTTTTCATAGTGAACAAAATATATGTGCAAAAGGTAAAAGACAAAAAGAAAATAAAAAAAATCATAAGGACAGAAAATGTTGGAACCTGTAAGCATTGAGAAGCATTGTTTATAAAGGTTATTCATCATTATTTTGCAGCAGCTTTGCCAGTAGCTCATGCCCCAGCAAGAGGATGAAAGGCATGAATACAAACAGCAAGTTTGTGTGATGGTAAAAAAGGAAAAAGATAAAAAGAGAGAGAAAGATTTGCTTTAAAAAAGAGTGGAAGGTGTGGAAGGTTTTGGCTGGCATTTTAACTTCTTGATATATGTATGTTTAAAATTATACAGCATACTTTTGCTTTACCTTCAGCTGGAGTAGTTTAGCTCTAATACTGAAATATATATACTATATATATATGTATAGCCTACTATTTGCAGTAATACTGAATTATTTATTGCAATAAGATCATGTTAACGTTTTTCTGAAGTACAGCTGTCTGCTGGAGGATGAACATCTGATTCTTAAAATTGCAATAAAGGAATCCAGCGGAAGCATATTTCTTGGTACAATGGCACTGTGTTAGAAAGAAAATTATGTTTGTAGGAACTTCATGGGTTACTGTGGAGACATTCTTGATAGTGGCAAGGTCCTCATCAACCTTCCTAAGACTGTGTTTTCTCCTGGGATCACACTCCAAAGTTGTGTCCATGTTTACACGATCAAAGTCCCTCTCTTCACAGAAAACCCAGTTTCAGTTACTGAACCCAAACAACTCTAAGAGATATTATTAACTCCATTTCTGAGAGATGAAATCTAAGATCAGAAAGCTACTAAGGAACATTGGTCTTGTGACAGAACCCATCTTTTTTGTGGTCTTTAATCATGTCCCATATTTTGAAGCTGTAATTTTGTCCTTTTTTTAATTCAAATTTTCGAGGCTTAGATTGGAATCTCAGATTACTTAGATTTTATGACTTGCTATGTTTTAACTCTCTAAATATTGCAAACATATCCTAACATAGGTGAATAC